TTGTCATGGGTTTGAAGTTTTAGTATAGGTGTGGAAGTTGTAGGAACATAGATCTATGTTGTGATGGTCCTCAAAGGGAGGGGAAGGAGTTGTTGCATCAGATGTCTTAAAAATAGTACAGCCACTGCTTTCGCTATCACTTTTTGTTTAAGGTTGAATACCATCAAATTGCGGACACTACGAAGTAAATTTCATTTATCTACGGTAGACATCTAATATAGCGAATGTCTTCTGGGATTAAGAAATATGACCGTCATTTGTTGCTTCTTTAGTCACGTAAGTTAAGGGGTTGCATCGAGGGGTTTATTAAGCCACATGCATAGTTTTGATAGCAAGTACTTATTGTGTGATATTATCTAAATGGATTCCCAATAAGTAAAGGGTGCTAAGGCTATAAATGTAGTGCATTAGCTAAAGTGCTCTTTGAATTGAATTAGTATTTGAGAATTAAAAAGTACCCAAATAATGAAAATATGAAATCATCTAGATAATGACATAAATGAAGGGAAGGAAATAATAACTATAAAATGAACCAATTAGAGGATAATCGCTTTGCATTTATGTATGTGTTAAAATATTTTGCAATTCGTCTTCGGTGGGTGGGGTTCTTGGTTAAGTTGTCGTTTTGAGATCATGAATTGTTGTGTGTGCTCTTGATTAGTTCCCCGTCATATTTTGCTAATGCATTCTTTGGTAACGCTGCTATATTTTTTAAAATTAGAAGCAAGAACAATTAGTGAAAGTTCAAACATTCCTAATGCTAGAATATACTAATTACTTGAAGACCCCTTTATTTTTTTCATGTAGTTGTTGTTGATGGTGAAAGCCGTTGTTTTAGTAGATGACTCGGGCTAGGATTTCATTACAAGATGGATGGGGACAAGACAATTTTTTTTCAATGCAACATCAGATAATAGTACGAAAATAGCTTACCATGCATCCTCATTCTCACACGACATTGTTTATGTTGGTGATAACATATTCTTAAAACAACAGCTACTTCGATGACTATGTTCTGTGCTGATATGGATGATTGCTAAGTGGGTTATTAATGTTTACTTCCTGATTCGTTGGACATTTAATAACTCACTTTTGTGCATATACCTTATAACTATGCCACATGCTAGCTCATTTGGTTATGGGTTGTTAATTGCAATGACCAACATAGGCAAAAAGATAATTGTGACCAGATCACATACAGATTTCTCATATTGGGAATCACGTTTTAATCAATAAACCATGAGATTGCCAGAGAATCTTGAAGATGGCATGTTAATAATCAACTACTAATAATGTAATGTATGTTGGCTAATATGGCACCATGATAATTCCTCCCATGTTTGTTGTTTGGATGGTTTTACTGTTTTCTTTACTTTTATGTCTTTCCCATCGGTCTCTTTGAATGCTTGATTTACAAATCCAATTTATGGATGTCACTTATTCCAAGTTAATGGGGACCAACAAATTTCAAATTCGGTAGCAAAACTTTTCATCCTTGACCTTTGATTTGAATAGAGTTTTAACACCTACATCCAAATTTAGGAGTTAGACAAATCTCGCATGTGTTGAATTTAGATACCAAATACATAACTGAAATATATGATCCAAACGATGTTCACATTTGTTATTGAATATCAAATTGGTTTTCTTTCTTTATGAAGTCATGAATCTTTTTTCATAAAATCCCACTTTCAACAAGTGTTTTATTTAATAAAATTCCAAATAAATACTTCAAATATCTGAGATTTTGATCAATAAAATAGCTTGGACTATCTTTTACGTCATTGTCAACTCTTAAAACCATAAATATTTTTCGTGAATCATATAAAATTAAAGATTCCAAATCAAGTAAATCATAAATATTGATAAAATAAATGATACGAAATAGAATGAAATTGATCCGACCAACGAGTCGGGTAAAAGCTAGTATATATATAACTAGACCTAGTCCCGGCCCGTTGGCCGGATACATATTATTAATGCGTATAATAATAATAGCAATAGTACAAAGTGATATATGTATATTTATTTAATATCATAAAAGAATAAAATTCAATTATTAAAATTTTGAAAAGAAATATACGCTATAGAGTTTTCGGACATCCTAACGGACTCATCAATGAAGTCTTTACTGAAATTAGAACGAAACTCATGCAATGAAGTATTACAGAAATAACAAATAAATAAACACTCATTGATGAAGTTCTTACTTATTCAAACTGCACTTCGTCCGAAATTACTGCACATTGGAGACCTTTGTGATTGCTCTACCATCAACAAAATCATCATTTCCGCTAATAAATAGATTCTTCTCCATTAAAGAAACCTTTATCTCCAACACCAATAGATTCTTCTTTCTTCTCTTGCATTTTCATTGAAAGTCAAAATTTAATGGTGAAATATATGCAAATATAAAACATCCTGTCCAAGTCATGAACATTGTGGGAGATTTGCTCTTTCTCATGACAGCTCTTTCTCCCGGCACAGAAACTTCTATCTACACCATCAACAGTCTTTTCCTTCTTCTCAACAACGTCATTATCTTCACCGTATCTACTACGTCTACTATCAGAATACTCTTTCTTCTTCTCTTGCATTCCATTGAAATAAAAAATCATGGTCAACGTATGTAAATATGAAAATGTCATTTTTTGAAGTAAAATTTACATCGTCAGAGCCTTGATTTGCTCTTTGTCATTCTTCCTTATCTTTAAAACGGTATATTCACTAATGAGATTCATGATATTTTAATTAGTTAGTTTGTTTTCGAATTTCAACTCTATTTACTTATTTTGTAGGATATAAGTAGGTGGAGGCTCTCAAATTCTATTACTATCTTGGATTAGCTTCTCGGCAGGCATTACGAAAAATCTACCTCTATAGTAATTTAAAACCACAAAGTCAAATTCAATGGCTCTTTCCAAGAGAAGGATATCAAATATGTAAAATAACAACAATTGAAATCACCATTTAGTCCAAAATTTCAAGTTTTAGGGGGGCAAAGCTTCTTTTTTAATGAACGAATGAATTTGAAGTTAAAAAGAATTAAGAGTAGAGTTAGATTGTAACATACCTATTGTTATATTTAACATTGTTGTACCATTCCTACAAAAGTACCTATCAGAGTCTACTTTGACTTTTCGTTAATAGGTTTTCGCATACAACACATTACTATCTATTCCTAATTTTGACAACTTTACATTGGATAAATACACTGTTCTAAATATTACATAAAAGGTAACATTTGAATATTAATTAGTCATAACATTTTTTTTAAACTGCTAACTTATAACAGACCTTAAACTATATTGATTCAAATATTTGACATATCCACAAAGTCACCTTCACAATCAGTCATCTATACCCGAATTGTGTGTATCATACCTGGAATTAAAATGCAAATTGAAAAAAATTACAATATGGAAGCTTTCCTTGGATCTTTTTGCTAGTAAATTTACTGAAAAATTTTCGTATGCTTAATGCAACTTATTAATATGTTTCTCTTAGATTGTAAGTTAGTCATCTCACTTTTGAAGCCTTGTATATATAAAAAATAGATCGAAAACAAATGTCAAATCAATGGATTGTATTGGGCATACTTACTATCGAATATGCATGACAAAAGTTATCATTGTAGGCTTTTAGTGTGATGTCATCTTGGGTAAGTTATGTCTAATTCATATTGTATATTAGGTGTGTGAATCAATTTGATAAACACAACGAAAAAATATAAAGCAGCACTTTAGTTTTAAGGTTTAATCAAGAATCAATTTACTAATAATAAATTTAGGATTTGTTAGGCCGTATCAATTATATATGTTGTCTTTTGCGGATTGATTTGGGCCTAGAATTAAAGCTATTATCAGGCTAAAATAAAATGTCAAAAATCTCCTTCCTTGCTTCACGCAGAGAGCAGGAAAAAGTGGTATATGTGAGTTCCTAAGAAGAACCTCCTTATATTGTTTTGAGGAGGAAACATAAACTCTACAAATTAACCTAACTATAGCCAAATCCATCCTCCCCCAATCCAACGTGACCACCGACAACACTAGACTCCTAATTGGACTTACTAAGCTAAGCCCATGCACTATCCCGTAATAACAAACTAACACAAACCTTAACAATTGAACAAAAACACATAAGTGATTAACCCAAAAGTCCAAACATTAAATATTCTCATCACCCACTAGCATTGGAGTAATTTCGCAACTGTTTCCACTGGAGTAATTGTATTGCTAGCTTTCTTAGGCCGTATATACGTTTTCAACCGGTTGTGTTTTTAAGAGGTTGTGCTAACAGAGAAGCACCAGCAACAACAAATACAACTTAAATCAGCAACGTGTTTAGTTCAAAAAATGAAAATTGTGAAACACTAAAAATAAAAAGGAAAAACACGTTTACTTTCATTCTAGTTTGAACACAATCTCAGAGAAAAAACAATTTGATTGGGGAGATGTGAAACCCAATGGTGGAGTCGGTCGTTTCTTGTAATCGAAGCCCTCCACCAGTATTCCCGGCAGCGATCGAGGGAGAGGGACGAACGGAACCCGTAGGAATTACGTGTGCAACATATTCAAGAATCAGCAGGGAAACTAAATCGATGATTGAAGTGAAGAATGGCTAAGAATTCACTATTATAGCTCTTTTACCATCACGGTTGATCATAGCAGTACCGAGGTAACAATTTTAATGACCATAAATATTTTTATAAAACAGGAACCGGGAGAAAACAGCGCCGTTGAGGATTGATCTCAGGTCCTCTCACATCCTGAGCCAACCAGATCAAAAGTTTCACCGCTAGACTATATTACCTTTAGCTACATTCCAAATATTTTAACTCAATAAATTGGGGAGACAAAATTTTCCACTATAGGTATTTTTCCACTAAGTTGTTTTTTTTCCAAAAGGTAATCCCACCTCTCTCGCATTTAAATCCAAGCAAAACCCATCACCAACTATCCATTAGTACAAACCATTCCCCACACACAAAATCCAGAGCCATGAACTCACAACTCTCAGCTGCCATCACCCTCCTTCCCCTGCTTCTTCTTCTCCTCCCCAATTTCCACACTGCCCTAGCAGACCCTCTGGCAGAGTTTTGCAACAAAGACAACGCCAAGCTCAACCCCGGATCCTCCTCCAGGCTCGCCAAACTCCTCTCCCAGCTCGTCGCCAAAGCTCCCGCCGACGGCTACTACGCCACTTCCTCCGGGCGCGGCAGAAACAAAGTCCACGGCCTCGCACAATGCAGGGGAGACGCCGCCGCCAAGGACTGCTCCACCTGCATCGCCGACGCCGCTGACCAGATCGCCCGCCGCTGCCCTGGCCTCCCCGACGGCAGGATTTGGTACCATCCTGAAAATTGTTGTGTATTATTACCGAAATCACAATAAATTTATACATGTTAAAATGACCGACTCTTATAAAGGTGACAATTGGTATTCAAATTTATGAATCCATTCCATCCACTAAATATCAAGAACCAGTTGTTCTCAATAACTCGAGTTGTTGGGAGGGGTTCAATCGTGGATCATATACCACAACACTAATACTAAATACAATTAATCCAATTTATTTAAACACAATTCATTTTATACAAATCCAATTGGATTGGTGGACTCATGGTTTTATTGGCAGATTACAAGTACCTATAGTTATTATATTTTCGTACCTAAAATTTATTTTCTTACAAAAAAATTACACTTTGATACATAAACTTTCGTTTACTATACCATTTTAGCACCTAAACTTTTCAAAATTTAAATATTGTCCAACACTTGGATGTCATTTGGATTCATGTATCGATGTACAAATTTATTGGATTCAATTCATGAATCCAACAATCCATTTGATCCAATCCCAATTCAATTCACCAATTTATGAATCCAATCCATTTGCCACCTCTCGACTCTTATAATAATTTTAACACTAATATAAAAATTTATCTATTTTTTTTTTATGACTCTGATAAGGAATATAACTCTGTCAGGTACGATAACTGCTTCCTGAGGTACAGCAAGGCCAATTTCGTGGGGAAACTCGGCAACAACTCCCCTGCCGTCATTTTTTTCAACGCCGAGAACGTGACGGATCCCGAAACCTTCAACGCCAAGCTCGCGGGTTTGGAGGATGTGGTCAGATCTCAAGCTGTGAAGCCGGGGAGTAAAGGGATAGGGAAAGGTGAGACGAAGCTGCTGCCGCCGTCGGCCGAGACGATTTACGCTGTGGTTCAGTGTACAAGGGACTTGGCCGCCGCCGACTGTGGTCGTTGCTTGGCTGCTGCTGCTGCGGGCTACTTCGCTGACTATTGCGACAACAAGAAAGGTTGCAGGGCTCTCTTAGATGGGTGCTATGCTCGTTACGAGCTCTACCCTTTTTAATTAGCCTTTACTTCTTCCCTCTCATAGTTACGCTCCACACCAAGTTTCCCTGCTGGGCTGATGGTATAGTGATGATCATTGCTGCTTCCATGGTGGCAGCCAGCAATTTGCATTTCTGCTTATTATACGATGTATTATGTACGACTTATGAGGAGAATGAGAATAATAAACAGGCAGCGATATCTTAAAATATTAGGATTCGCCAACACACGACCATGTCAAAAAGGTGGCCACTCAATCTCTGTTTTCACCGAACCGAACCGGAAAAGCTAGTGGTTTAGAGTTCAGCGGTTAACCATGACAAAACCGTTGGTAAACCGTTAATAGAACCGTTTATGATATATATAACATATAAGACTTGTATATTACACTAATTTAAGAATGGAATTATCATTGGCCATAAACGAGTTCAAATTCATATCATCACCAAACTATCTAATAAATCATTCCAACCATCTCACAAAAGAAACCACATTTTTTCAATTCATATTAAAAATTACGGTTCTATTCGGTAGTAGACAACGTAAAGTCGACAATGATGGATTCATAACATTACGGAATTAAAGAGTATAAAGTTTGCACAAGAGCTAAATTAATAGATGATATATTTTGGACTTATAGATCAATAGTCGTCAAGAATTTAGGCTCTTTTACCAAATCTCAACACAGTATGTGATGTGAGATTTATAAGTTCATTAGATTAAAAAAATTATATCCGAAAATTTTTAAATATGTAGACCACACGAATTTTACAGTCATCAACAACATAAATTTATCAAACTTGGTCCAAAATTCATTTCCTAATTTCAACGAGCAAACCAGACCTGAATTTCCTGTAGACCGACGTACCGAAGTTTCCCACTCATGTTGTCTTTTTCCTTGGAGGTGGAAGAAGTAAAACACTAACTACGTTGAGGTTGGCCAGTACCATTAAGTGGGAGAGGGAAGTTGTTAATTAGTGTTTGATTAGTAAAAGTTACTCAATTATAATATTCTCTTTTCTATTGGTAGTGGAAGAAGAATTGGTCATGTCCATTTTCCAATAGTTAGTGCGGATTAGGGAGTAACGGTTAAATTACAAAGTTCATTCCCATTGTTCTTAAGCGCTAGGTGTAGTTGAGAAAGAATAGGAAGCTTATTAAAATACCATTTTATGTCCTATTATTGCAAGTTAACAAACGTATTTTTTGACTATTTTTTTGTACTTTTATTTCCTTCAACTATCGAATTATAATAAATGTTCCCTTCTATTACTATTTCCGTCGAATTCCTATCAGTGAGGTTGCAAAATGACTATATTACCCTCTCATTATCAATTTATATAATTATTTTCGAAAAAAATAAAACTAACTATTAAGTTGGTTTACATTTTATGCTCTTTCAATTCCCCTTGTACTATCTATGAGAACCCCACCCCTCCAATTTCTTCCTTCTACGTGTGTGCCCTTCTCCCTTCACCTTCATCATACAAAACTCCAACGCCAAGTCTCACCGAGAACAGGCCTGCAACAAATCCAACCCAAAATTTGTCAAATTGCAGGATTTAATTCTCCTCGTTTGGAATTAAAACCTAATTAAGTAAAGTACTAAACTTTTACAGTAATCAAGGGAATCAGGAAAGCAAAACAGTAAACCCGCAATCAAACTAATCTGGGTTAATTTGCTTTCCTATAGTGGGGTTCCTTTCCTTTCCCGGGCCTCGTCGTAAGCAACAGAAGAACCTGGGGAATATATGTGAAATCTTTCAGTACTAGGGAAATTAAAAGAGCATAAAAATAATTAATTTAATATATAAACTGATAAGGAAGGTAGAGGTGACAATTGGATCGGATTCGTGGATTCGTGAATTGGATTGGTGGATCCATGGATCAAATGGATTTGAATCCAATGGATTGGTGGATTCATGGATTGGATCAAATGGATTGGTGGATTGATCCATGAATCCAAATGACATCCAGGGCTTGGACCAAAATGTAAAATTTGAAAAGTTTTGGTACTAAAATATCATAATGAAAAAATTTAGGTACCAAAAATGTAAATTTTTCAATGATATTTTTCGTATAAAAATATAAATTTTAGGTACCAACATGTAAAATATAAACAATATAGATACCAAATCGTAATTTGCCATTTGGATCCATGGATTGATCCATGAATCCACCAATCCAATTGGATTTTGATCAAATGGATTGGATTAGGTGGATAATTTGGTGGATGGATTGGATTGGATTCACGGATTTGGATCCTAATTGCCACCTCTAAATTAAGGGGTAATATAGTCATTTCCGAATCTCATTGATGAAAATAGTAATCGAAGGGCACAATTGTTACATTTTGATAGTCGAAGGACATAAATAGAGCAAAACAATAATACAATGACAAATTTGTTAACTTGCAATAATAAAGGAGCATAAAATGGTATTAACCATATTAAAATAAGAAAATTGTAGTAAGAAAATTTATTTTTCCGTTGTGGATAGAGAAAATAATTGGGTTACTATTTAATTGGTGAATTGGTCAAATTGATTTATATCATTATATCGGTTTGGTAAGAGGTATGATCCGACCGGTTGTATGACCGATTTATGTCAATTCTCGATTTTGACAAAACATGTAGGAAAGTGAAAAATTAAATGAATTTAGGCATATATATTTTTTTATGAATGGTAATAGGTCGGGTCGTGGGCGGATAGTGCATATCTGTTACCCTACCCAAAGTAGTTCGGGTTTTACCCATACCCATACCCACATGTGAAATGGGTAGAAAATCAAAACCATGCCCATACTCGTTCGGGTTTCGGGTATCCACGGTTATCCATGGGTAATAATTTCTCTTCATAACTCCAATCAATATGTTCATTTATCCGTATTCTCCTTAAGAGGAAAGATACGGTAATAATTCACTAGAATGAAGAAAATCAATTAAAATAACACAATTTCATGAAAATATTATATTTATATGCTAAATATAGAATATGTTAGAGAAAAATAATGATTATTTCTAGATAAAATATATATGCATGTGTATAATCGGGCAGGTTCGGGTTGGATAGTGAGAAACCCATGCCCACCCATTACCCGCAATATTCGGGTTCGGGTTTTACCCGTACCCACTAAAAGTCCTTCGGGTTCGGGTTTCACCCTACCCGATTAGGTCGGATTCGGGCGGATATCCACGGTTATGGATATTTGTGCCTGTTAGAATATGACTTGAATTTGACCCGCAATATTCGGGTTCGGGTTTTACCCGTACCCACTAAATGTCCTTCGGGTCCGGGTTTCACCCTACCCGATTAGGTCGGATTCGGGCGGATATCCACGGTTATGGATATTTGTGCCTGTTAGAATATGACTTGAATTTGATTTGGTTTTGTTTTGTGTTTTGGGTCTATTTTATTTGGGTTTGTGTTTGGGCTTTATTTTGACTTTTTCCTTGTATGTTTGGGAAAAGATGTTTGATTTTCTGTTTGGAATTAGGAAAGTTCTATAAATACTCTTCATGGGAGCGGTTACGGTGATTACTATTTTGTAGTAATCACCGTGGTTACTAAGGGTAAATTGGGTATGAAAAATAAATTATATTAATTAATTAATTTTAATAAATTACATTTTAGGTAGTTACAAAAATCTATTAATTACAATTCAATCTCTTTCTCTCACTTCCGTAATCTCCAGCCAGATCTCCTTTCCATATTTTTCTCAATCTTTCTGCAAAAGAAAAAACAAGAAATCACTACCAATCCATTAGACAATCACTACCATTTTAAAAAACATCAATACCATTGCAAAAAAGAATCTATACCATTATACGAAAACTACCAATATAAACAATCTATACCATTACAAAAGTCAAATAAATACTAAAACAACCAATATCACTACTACTGTGAAATCAAAACAATACCATTGCATAAATAAATCAATACCAATAAACTAAAACTACCAATACAAACACTTTATACCATTACAAGAGTCAACCAATACCACTAAAAAGCAATACACTTACATGATAATCAATACCAATGCGGAAAAAAGAATACCAATGCGAAACAATACTATCATTACGAAAAAATTACTACCAATGCGGAAAAAACAATACCAATGCGGAAAAAAACACTACCACTACGAAAAAGTCACTACCAATGCGAGAAAAAAACACTACCACTGCGGAAAAATCACTACCAATGCGAAAAAATCAAATCTAGGGTTTTTATTCATCTTACCTTTTCCAGCCAGAGCCGTCTCCCAGAGAGAGAGAGAGAGAGAGAGAGAGGGGGAGAGAGGGAGAGAGAGAGAGAGAGAGAGAGGGCAGCGGTGGGCGAGAACGACACCATCGCCGGTCCGCCGATTAAAGACTGGAGACGACGACACGCAATATGGGTGCACGGAAGAAGCTTCTCCCCACCGGTGAGAGGTTCTTGAGAGCGGCGCTGATGGAAAAAACGAAAAGGAAAGGGGAAAAGAGAATACGGAAAGGCCACTAATTTAGCCCCACAATAATGGCGTGAGTGAGAGAATGGATCGTCTGGCTCCCACCCGAAAATAACCTTCATCAATATGGACCCTCGGATTGTATTATCTAAATCTTAATGATCAATAGCCAAGTAGCCACAGTGATTACTTAAAAGTTAGTAATCAGGCTAACACATTCCTACTCTTCATCACCTAGTCTGTAGTAAGGTCAGTCAGGTTAGTTTGTTTGGTTTGTCCGTTCCGGAATTTGATTTGTAACCTGCACTCTCCTCAAAATCAGTGAAATTTATTCTCCCCTGCCCGTGGATTAGCTAGCACACATTGTGTTAGTGAACCACGTTAAATTTGTGTTCGTTTGTGGAACTCTGAATTATCGTTTGCACGCTTCTGTTCTGACAGTGCCATCTCTAGTTTATTTTTTATTTTTTTTGAAAATCTACATTCATATCTAAATAAAATATAACATTCAAAATAAAATGAAAAATTATAATATTTAATAAAAATATTCAAATTTTATATTTGAATCCAACAAATAATACAAGCAAATAATTTTTTTTTTTTTTGTTAATTTACATTGAGCAAAATGGTGTCATTTTGTTTAAACTAAGCTGACCTTTCCTGTAATTGACTCACTCTCCTCGAATGACACAAACCTTCAGAAGAGTTACAATAGCTAGCTAGCTAGCTTAAAGTTTTGGGCTTGTCCTGCTGGGACTTTGGGCTTGTCTTTGACGGCCTCTCCTTACGTGGGCCTGGGCTTTTCTATCATTGATCAACAATTCAACAGCAACAGAACTTTTGACTGTTAAAAAGAAAATGAAAAAGTCAGGGGGCCTGGTTTGTAAGAAGTGACATGGCGTGTTTATGTCGCAAGACTCGCAACTCAGCAGCGAGCCTAGCCGGTTACCGTCCCCGCCGGTGCTCGAATCATTGTCGTAACGATCGTACAACACGATGTAGTTCAATGTCCATCCAATCGCGCGCGTCTAGACGTTCTAATCCAGTTGACATTAGGATATGTCAACTTGATTCTCACGACGGTCAAGATCGACACTGTGTCCTGATCTGGCCCTGTGAGTTGTGACTAACAGATACACAGACAGGATAGGAGCTTCTTCTATTGTGTCGGTTAAACAAAATTCACTCCCCGCCCCACGAAAAAAAAAAAAAATAGATTATTTCTTTCCTTTTCGAAAGCCAGCGCCAGGCCAGATCATGATAGTGGGCGGATATCATTGCTCCTTGCAGCTATAGGCTACTGTTGTTTTTCTTATTATACTGGTTTCGTACTTGCCTTTTGCCTTGCCTACCTCATTAATTTTGTATATTATGAGATTTCCTGTCCGTCTGACTGTCTCTCTCATTCTCCCATCTATCTTTTCAGAATCCCCATGTTCGGTTCCTACATTCTCCCTGCTATATATAACTCTAACTAGTACAAGTCAATTAGATTGGATTAGATTAGATTAAAGCGGGGGAGGGAAGTATTCAATTTTGAATGTACAATTCTGTCCCGCAATCTATTCAACTTAGTTTCGCACTATAGCTACCTAATGATACATCTCAGGAATTCATGGAGGCCGGCCGGTGATCAAGTAGCGGCGCCGTTGAGTGTACGTACGCAGGCGAAGGCTCTGTTTTTTGGTCCTGGGGAAGAGCTACCGGGTGACACTAGGGAGAATGTTATGGACCGGAAGAAAGAAAAGAAAAAACGGGGGGGGATTCAGAATCAACAACGTAAGCAACAGAAAGTGATCATTTGGAATGGGAACTTATAATAAGCACGAATCGATTTTGACAAAATGAAGATAATTACGGCCTCTAACTAATAAATGGTGCATGCACGGGACTGGTTACGGTGCTAATTGTACAAGAGTTAGCACCGTCCTAACCAAGGGTTAGTAGTGATTTAGCTTAGATGTTGTATTGATTTTATAATAATCCGTAGTGATTTCGTTGTTTTTAATAGCGTTTTTTCCTAGTTATCACGGTGCTAACCCCCTATAAGGGTTAGCACCTAATCCCATCCCGTGCAGCACCCGATCGAATGAGCTGATTAGCACTACCTACCTACTTGTCTTAGTCTCGTCTGATTCTTGTAGTTGTCGAGAGATTTGTGTACAGAGAATACTATGTGTTGTGATCTCTATTGTGAAAGAAAAAAAAAGTAAGATAGCGTTAAAAAGAATAGTTGGTCCCAATAATTCGAGTTGTTGGGAGAAGGTTATCCACACTTTGTGCTTTAATCATCTGTTAATATTGGGGGGCCGTGGAGATTCGAACACACAACTACTTGGCCAAATCAACTCTGATACCATGTCATGAACCAATTGATCCTAATAACTCGAGTTTTTGTAAGAAGTTTATTATTGATCTTATATCACTCTCTTACGGATATATACTTTTCGCGTTTGTTAATATCTTCGAAATTTGTCCATCATTTGAAAATGATATTTCAAATAAGCAGTCGTTATGAATATATCTATGTATAAGCTCCTACCCTACAAACTACGCGACAAAAGAATATCAGTTGGATAACTTATTTTTATATAACATTGTCTAATCTGATTTTTATCAGGGATGATTAGGTTCTTACTATAGGGATACGATATGTCTTCCCGGAATGGGTTAGGGTGGTTACTCAATTTTGAGTAATCACGGTGGCTACCAACATCTATACCATTCATTACCTTTATTTTATTATAATTTTAAATTAATGATTAAGATTAGCTAAGGGTAATTTAGGAAATGAAAAACATACCACACCTGATTACTGTATATATTTTACTCAAACCCTAATACCTAGCCGTCGTCTCCTCCCTCCTCTCCCTGTCGCTCCCGCTCTCGATCAACCTCCGCCTCGTCGGCCCCGCTCTCGCTGTCTGAAGAAGGAGTTTGATCTGAAGAAGGAGTTTGATCTGCACCACAAGAATCCGTCGGAGGAGGCGTTGATGCGATGGTGTTAATTTTGCTCCAGATTCCAATCTCAGCTGTTGGCGTAGCGTTAATGGATATCAGCGGAAGAAGAGCTCTCCTCATGGTGATTAATTAGGAGCCAGAGCTAGCTAGTTTCCATTTCATGGATCTCCCGCATCCAGGTCCCTCTTTCTTCTCCCCCATTTTTCTATTGAACTCCGGATTCTCTCCCTCTCTTCGTTTCCGCCCAATTTTTTTTTGGGCTTTGATTGCTGTTGGCTTACCTCAATCAACCTCCGCCGACGTCCTCTCCCTGTTGACTCTGTTTGCAACCATCATCACGACATTCATAGCTCTGGCTGCCGCCGGTTCTGGTATACCGGAGGTGAAGGCTTACCTCAATGGTAGTCTTTTTTTCCGTAGTGATTTTTTTTAAATGGTAGTCATTTTTTCCCGTAGTGGTAGTGTTATGGTCGTATTGGTATTGTTAGTGTCGCATTGGTATTATTTTTGTCGCATTGGTATTGATTTTGTCGCATTGGTAGTGATTAAATCTGCAATGGTATTGATGTTTTCTGAAATGGTAGTGTTTTTATTTCTTGAATGGTATTGATGTTTTGTATAATGGTAGTATTTTTTTAATGGATTGGTAGTGATTTCATGTTTTTTCTTTTGCAGAAAGTTTGAGAAAAATATGGAAAGGAGATCTGGCTGGAGATTATGGAAGTGAGAGAAAGAGAAAGAATTGTAATTAATAGATTTTTGTAACTACCTAAAATATAATTTATTAAGTTAATTAATTAATATAATTTATTTTTCCATACCCAATTTACCCTTAGTAACCACGGTGATTACTATAAAAAAGTACTCACCGTAACCGCTCCCATGTCTTCCCATACTGGTAACAGTTGTATCATTCCTAGTAAATTAAAGTTATGTAAGGTTATAAGAATAAACGTTAAGTAGTCGATCCGCTCTCACAAAGACAACCACCATCATATATGTATATAAATGGATGACTATCTCAAGTGATTACAACCGGGGGGCAACGAGCAAGCTCTACGACAGACCAAATTGTACCGAATATATATTTGGATTGAATATATTTCAATTCGATTTCGATCCTACAATTTGTCTTATGTATGAAGTAAAAGTGAATTGAAACTGAATTTAGACTCGACCGAGTCAAACTAAATGAACCAAAAACTGCTTTTGTTCTGGTTTTGGTCCTCAATTTGTTTCCTTGATTTTTATTTGATCTTATCTGGATTAGTTCTCGTCTAAACTGGAATAGACCAATGCCCACACCTAATTAAACCAATAAATTCTTTAAAAATTCCAATTTTTCTGTCCACATTGTTTTTTATTCTAATGGTTGTGTAACTAAAGAGAAGATAGCAAACGGCGTGGAAGAGAATTAGCCATCGTCCAACTTTGAACAAGGATATAGATTATTAAAGATCTTTCTTTTTAAGAAAAATAATTAAAATAATTGTCGCGTCATTTTGTTCTTAATTAGTCGGTTGGATTAGGGTTGAATGGTCAGTTACACTACAACAATGACGTCCTACCATTCGATAATGTCCTCTCGGACATTCTCTAAACGCAGAGAGAGAGAGAAATATCCTTTTCTGGGTGAATATTCAAAAAGCAGCAATCAGCTCATTATGTGGCACTACAGTGAATAACTGGTAATTCAGGCCTCAAACCAAACCCTAATCCCTAATCATCACAATCACTGTCCTTTCTTGGTAATTAAAACCCCAAATAAATAATAATACAAATATAAACACGATTAGTTAAATACTTAAATTTATTTATAAAAAAAATAATCCCACTACCCCGTTTGTGGCAACCACGAACGGACAACTCAGCAAGCGTCACAGCCTCACCGTTAGTGGACCCCACCTACCTACATAAGAAAAGAAAAGAAAAAACAGCAGGACGACAGACAGAGTAGAAAGAAGCGTAAGAATAAAAATTCCCCCATTTTACGGCGCTTTTTCATTTTTTTTTATTTTCCATTTCACATCATATATAAGCTTTTCCTCCGCTTCGTTTTCGCAAAATTTCCGGAAAAACCAGAAGCTACAGCTCTCTCTTTCTCTCTGGAGGCGGAGAGGAAAAGGGAAAGAAAGATTGTTTTCTGTTTGGTTCCATTCCATTCCACCTGTGCTGTTGTTTGTTGTTTCCTTCTTTATCGTCTTCCTCCACCTCAATTCTCTCTCTGCTTATCTGGAAGCAAGTCTTGGAGCTGTTATTATTACAACTAAGGCACTGCTTCATCGTCCTCGCCACCTTCCCCTCCGATCCGAGTCGCTGAGCTCGGATTTTGGGAGACGCGGTTGTTGAGGAACTCAATGAGGTAGGGAGAGTGGGAAAGGGAAGATCTCAAGCGTACAAAGATCGCTCGCCATGGTGAGTTAGCTGGTTGATTGATGTAGTGCCTGTTTGAGATCATCAGTTCATTTTTTTGATCACCCGATGCTGGATTTGGGGTTTTGATTTTTGAGAATTTGATTTTGGATGCTCGATTTTGCTGCTTCTGTGTTTTCCTTTCTTGCTTGAGATTCGGTGATAGGAAGTTGAAGTAACTTTACCAATTGCCAGAATTCAGATACAGAAATTTTGGCACTCTGTTTTTTTCCTTCCTTCTTCTTCTTGCCAGATTGGTTGTGTTGTTGCATTGTCTTGAACTCTAGATCAAGGTTTGAGGATCCGAATGCAGCTGAAATGGTGGAATTCTGGATTTGTTTTTGTTTGCGAATGATAGGATTGAGAACGGGGACTTGATTGCGAACTGAAAGCATTTGGAATTATGTATTATATTATTAAAATAAGTTGGAATTGGCTTCCAGGATTTGTCCTGAGCTGAAGAAGATGCAAAACAAAGAGACAAAATGAGGAGGAAACTAGCTTTAGTATAAGTTGCTCTATTTTTGGATTACATTACATTGTTTGCTTCATGTTGGATTACTCTGGCTAGTGAAGCTTTGAGTGGACTCCGTAGTCAGATTTAGTCCAACCAAGTCAATGGCAAGCTATAAAATTGGAAAAAAGGTGGCAGAAGCTGAGATGGAGCTTTCTCTCTGTATTCTCTGCTCATCTGTTATAGAATCTCATGCAGATTTTTGTCATCTTCACCACTCTAATTTTTCAGATTCGTGGTTTGCGTATGCATTCGTCTGATTCTATATGCTGTTGCAGTAACAGCACCAGGCATTTGATTGTATCATGTGGCTTCTCAAACTCAGTTCATTCTGTTTAGAAAGTTCAGAAGAAGCATGCTTTTTTATTCTTATTGTCTGCCTTCCCTAGTCATGGTAGTTCAAGCAAGGTCAACACATGTTGAGCAGGAGTTGGTTGCTATGTCAGAAGTGGGAGGCCAACTGTTTCTTGCTCATGGGTTTTGGACATATTTTGCATTTGGGAAAATATCCAATACGTGTTTCTTTCAAATTTGCAGGCTACGCCAGTCAACATTATTGTGGGTTCTCATGTATGGGTTGAAGACCCTGAGGAGGCATGGGTTGATGGAGAAGTAGTGAAGATTGATGGAGAACAGGTCCATGTCAATGCAACAAATGGGAAGAAGGTGAGTTCGTTTAGGCTGTCTAAGATGTCTCTTATCTACTTCATATATGGTCACCATCAGTTGTTTAAGCTAGAATCCAAAATTTCCTTTATCAGTCAGATATAGTACTGGACTTGTGATTGCACATCGTCTTGTTGTATTGAATATCTAAGTTCAGAGGTCCTTCATCCTATTTCTTAAACTCATTTCTGAATTGCCATTACACAAATGAATATCGCTGCAGGTTGTTGCAAATATCTCCAAAGTGTTCCCCAAGGATACAGAAGCTCCAGCTGGGGGTGTGGATGACATGACAAAGCTGTCATATTTGCATGAGCCTGGAGTTTTGAGTAACTTGGCTACCAGATATGAGCTCAATGAAATCTATGTGAGATACTTCTCGATTTTCTTTCTAGTAATTGTGTGTTTTCTATAAAGATATTTCATTTAAACTGGGTCTCTGCCTTCTCAAATCAAACTCCTGTTCTGGTGCCATGTAGACTTACACGGGAAATATACTGATTGCGATAAATCCTTTCCAAAGACTACCGCACCTGTATGACACTCACATGATGGAACAATATAAAGGTGCGGGGTTCGGAGAGCTAAGCCCGCATGTTTTTGCAGTTGCAGATGTTGCATATAGGCAAGTGTCATCGTTTCTACTTCATGCTGCTGTTGCATTCGTGGTTTTACTGAATTCTGTTTTGCCACTCCACAGGGCCATGATTAATGAAGGAAAGAGCAACTCGATTCTAGTCAGTGGAGAAAGTGGTGCAGGGAAGACAGAGACAACAAAGATGCTCATGCGATATCTTGCATACCTAGGTGGTCGGTCTGGCGTGGAAGGGAGAACTGTTGAACAACAAGTTCTAGAAGTAAATTAAATGATTCTCTCTTTTCTGGATACGTGTATCTGGGTTTCTGCAATATTTCAATTTGTATTGATGAAGTTAAATCTGCTTCAATGAAACAGTCCAATCCAGTTCTTGAAGCTTTTGGCAATGCAAAAACTGTTAGGAACAACAACTCAAGGTTAGTACTTTATTTTCTGCAACCGTTTTTACTATACCTGAAAGGAGGGGGAATACATGGGATGTTTTGACAGGTTTAGAATACTGGAAACACTTGGAAATAGTCTTTTTTCCTTCTGAAGGGGATGAATAATGAATCGACCATGTTATTCTGGCTATTTAGATGGCCATATGGTCAGTCATGGTCAAATTGTTGGACCAGACTTCATTTTTTGGTTGTGGATAGCTGGTTCAACTATTCATGAACATTCTCTTCTAATTGTAGATTTACTAGTTTCTTTCAACTACTTGTCAATTGAAATAGTAATGTTTTGGAGGCATAAGTTTGCCTATCATGATAATACATGTAGAGCTCAGTTATTTTTCATCATGGTTTGACAATGCAGTCGTTTTGGTAAATTCGTTGAGATCCAATTTGACAAGAATGGGAGGATATCGGGAGCCGCTATACGAACTTATTTGCTGGAAAGATCTCGTGTTTGCCAAATTGCTTCTCCTGAAAGAAACTACCATTGCTTTTACCTTCTTTGTGCTTCACCACCTGAGGTACCAATTCCTTACCTTCAATAAAATATGCAATTCTATTTGCAGGTCCTTGGTATTGTGCTCATAAATTGCATTTGGGTCATCTATATTCCCAGGAAAGGGAGAAGTTTAAGTTGGGAAGCCCCAGTTCTTACCATTACTTGAATCAATCAGACTGCTATGAACTGGCCGGTGTAAATGATACAGAGGAATACCTTGCTACAAGAAGGGCAATGGATGTAGTTGGCTTAAGTGAGGATGACCAGGTCAGTATCTTCATTTAATTCGGGGAATGGCGTATTTATGTTTACTTTCCACTCACATTTTTTCTCTCTCTCTTTAGGATTCTATCTTCAAGGTTGTAGCTGCAGTTTTGCATCTTGGGAATGTTGAATTCGCTAAGGGACCAGAGATAGACTCTTCTGTTATTAAGGATGAAAAGTCAAGGTTCCATCTCAATACAGTGGCAGAACTACTCCAGTATGGCTCCTTTTCTTTGACTTTGGTTCACCCTCTTGTATGTTTGTCTTGTTGCATTGTTCTTTGACCAAATGGCTCCTTTTATCTATGTATGCAGGTGCGATGTCAAAAGCTTGGAAGATGCATTGGTAAAGCGTGTTATGGTAACACCTGAAGAGATTATTAAGAGACCTCTTGATCCTGCTGGTGCATTAGGAAGTCGAGATGCCTTGGCGAAAACCATTTATTCTCGCTTGTTTGATTGGTAAAGCACACATTTTGCTTCCTTTATAGCTCTTGACATGTTGAGTATGAATCATGAAGAGATAATCATTTTCAGATTTTCTGTAGAGTTTGATCAAGCATATAGGTATTGCCCTGATGATTCCAGAAGCTGTAGTCTCTAATGAGTTTTCTTTCTATCCACAGGCTTGTTGATAAAATTAACAATTCAATTGGGCAAGATCCAAACTCGAAAACCTTGATTGGAGTTCTTGATATATACGGTTTTGAAAGTTTCAAGTTCAATAGGTAAAGTTTTGAAAGTGATGCTGTGTGATGTATAATATTTCGCTTATGGCCAACTAACTGTCATGCTATGTAGTTTTGAGCAGTTTTGTATCAACTTCACAAATGAAAAGCTGCAACAACATTTCAATCAGGTTCATACTCTGTGACGTTGTTGGTGTTTCTGATTTTATCTTCTATGGGATTTGCTGTCTTAGACTTTATGGTGATCGTGGTTGCAGCATGTCTTTAAAATGGAACAAGAAGAATATACAAAAGAAGAAATCAATTGGAGCTATATTGAGTTTGTTGACAATCAAGATGTCTTGGATCTTATCGAGAAGGTATTCTATCATGACTATGCTTGACACTTCGATTTCATTTCTATCAGATTCATGTATATGGAAACTACAACAATTTAGGGAAGACTCTACATATGTTTAGTTTACTTGATGGAAAAGTACAGTCCTTCTCCAGTCCTTTGGGTTTCAGGTTCAAGGCCCAAATTAAGAATTGAATGCCGCCGCAGGTTTCTTCTCTAATAAAGTTTGCAGTTGGTCTAATATAATTTTATATTTCACATTATGCAGAAACCTGGAGGCATCATAGCACTTCTGGATGAAGCCTGGTATGCAGTTAATATTTTGGTCCTGTTTTATTTTTATTTTTTTTTATTTCATGATTAATTGGAGAATCTCTAGATATGATGTTCTTCCCATTTGTTGGAGTTTGCTGATGTACTTTGAATTGATTCAACAGCATGTTCCCAAAGTCTACACATGAAACATTTGCACAGAAGTTGTACCAGACATTTAAAAACCACAAGCGCTTTATCAAACCAAAGTTATCTCGCACCAGTTTTACAATAGCTCACTATGCAGGAGAGGTGAACTTCTATTCAGATTGTATTCTTACTTGGTTCTTTCTGAGTCTAATACTTGCTAATTAATATCCTGTTCCTTTCAACAGGTAGCTTATCTGGCTGATCTTTTCCTGGACAAAAACAAAGATTATGTTGTTGCAGAACACCAGGATCTCCTGACAGCATCAACATCCTCTTTTGTGGCCAGCCTCTTTCCAGCACTTCCACAGGAGACTTCAAAGCAATCCAAATTTTCTTCTATTGGATCTCGCTTTAAGGTAGATATCAATTCATACTGGAATCTTGTATGTCCTTCCATTCATATTGACATTCTTTTTATGGGGTATAGAAGTTTCGACAATGTACTTACCAAGTACGAAAGCATGCTTGGTATATTGATTTGGAAAAATGAAGCATTAGGGATTCCTATATTATGTTTCTTTCTGGGGGGAAAAAAACAGAAGGTTAAAGGGTTTGTAAGTCCCAGCGAGCGACAAAGTGCGCTATATGGCTGTCTGTGGGTCTTTATTTGGACTGGATTTTCTTCATTATTGTGCATAGTAAAACAACTTATGCTATGTCCAAAATCTTTCCCAGATCCATGGAGGTTTTTCATTGTTGACAAATCTGGATATGTCTTGAATTTGCAGCTTCAACTCCAATCATTGATGGAAACGTTGAATCAAACAGAGCCTCACTATATCAGATGTGTTAAGCCAAACAATGTACTGAAGCCTATGATTTTTGAGAACGTTAACATTATCCAGCAACTACGATGTGGGGTAAGCAGTTTCACTCCCTGCTTTTCTAATTGTCTTGAATCTCCCATTTCCTTCCTGTCTTTAATTTTTAGATTCTATTATTTCCATAACAGATAAGATTCCAAACTAAGAATTTTAAATGATGGCCATTCTCATGTCATTTGTCACGCATTTTTCCTCAGGGTGTTTTGGAGGCAATTAGAATCAGCTGTGCTGGATATCCAACCAGAAGAACATTCTATGAGTTTCTTCTGCGTTTTGGAGTTCTTGCTCCAGAAGTTTTGGACGGGAAGTAAGTCATATGGAGTGAAAGATTGGGGCACTAGCATATAAAGTTTTGTGGCTGTTTCTTTTCCTTTTCTACTGGGTGAAGGTTTGTCTGGTGTGTACTAAATGGCTCACTCATTTTTCCCGCTCTTGCTGTACAGCCACGATGACAAGGTTGCTTGCCAAATGATTTTGGACAAGATGGGATTGAAAGGTTATCAGGTAAGAACTTATCTTCGTTGCAATTTTATGCCTGCCGTACCTGTTGTAATCTCTTGTTCTGCTGTTGGAAGTTTAGGGAAATTATTGATCAGTATCTAATTTCTGGACCAAAATAAAAAACTCTGTGTATGCATTTATTATTTTCATTTATCAGCAGGCCAAACGAACTTGTTAGGATATAATGTTATTTGACGCATTTCCTAATGAATTTGCAGATAGGTAAGTCAAAGGTATTTCTTAGAGCTGGTCAGATGGCTGAACTAGATGCAAGAAGGGCAGAGGTGCTTGGAAATGCAGCTAGAATCATTCAAATGCAAATCCGCACATATATTGCACAAAAGGAGTTTATTGCCTTACGGCGATCTGCTATTCACTTGCAATCTCATTGCCGTGGTGTCTTGGCTCGCAAACAATTTGAGCAGTTGAGAAGACAAGCAGCTGCTTTGAGAATCCAAAAGAACTTCAAGGCATACACAGCTAGGACATCATACATGGCTCTCTATTCATCTGCGGTCACACTACAGACAGGCTTAAGGGCAATGACAGCTCGCAATGAATTCCGTTTCAGAAAGCAAACGAAGGCTGCAATAATCATACAGGTCCCACCTCAATTTTTTTCTGATACTCTGCCCTAAAATCCACACCTTTCATGTCAGATCATTAGTCAAGATCAGAAGATCTGCATCTCTTTATTTAAATATTTGTGTAAGCAGCTGACCTCATATCTCGTTGGGACTTTCAGGCACAATCACGGCGCTATGCAGCATTCTCTTATTACAAACAGCTTCAAAAGGCTGCATTAGTTTCTCAATGTGGTTGGAGGAGAAGGGTTGCTCGGAAAGAGCTTAGACAACTCAAAATGGTGTGCTCAATTTCTTCAACATTACTCCTTTGGCACATGCATGTGCATAAAGCGCCTTGTGCAGGATGCCAAAGAAAGGCTGGTGCTGATGATTATTTGTATATTTACAGGCTGCAAGAGAAACAGGTGCACTACAAGAAGCGAAAGACAAATTGGAAAAGCGTGTGGAAGAGCTCACATGGCGTTTACAGTTGGAGAAGAAAATGAGGGTACATTTCACCTTCAATGATTATCACTGGACACTAAGAGAGAAATATTGCCAATCTCATTTGATTTGGTGCTGTAATCCAGACTGATTTGGAAGAGGAGAAGGTTCAAGAAGCTGCCAAGCTGCAGGAGGCTTTACATGCAATGCAAATACAAGTTGAAGAAGCAAATGCCAGAGTCCTCAAAGAAAGAGAGGCAGCTAGGAAAGCTATTGAAGAAGCTCCTCCAGTGATTAAGGAGACTCCTATTATGGTTCAAGACACTGAAAAGATTGAATCACTGACAGCTGAGGTTGAGAGCTTGAAGGTTGGCATTTTACTGGCTTGTGTCCCAAGCTTACTTTCTGCTCACTTTGTACTTTCTGCTCTCTTCTGAAACTAACCAATTTGCTGGGCATGTAAATGCTGAGTAAATCAACCTAAATCTGCTAGATTCTTCATTCCTCTTCCCAGTTTACACCTCTAAACTGAAAGATATTTCTTCTTTCCTCCTTACTAAATGCATGTCAATGGCAAATTTTTGTTGATTTCATGACTCTCTGGTTCTGTACAGGCTTCATTGCAATCAGAAAGAGAGGCTGCAGAAGAGACGAAAAAAGATTACACGGATTCTGAAGCCAGGAACTCTGAACTAGTCAAAAAGCTTGAAGACGCAGAACGGAAAGCTGATCAGCTTCAGGAATCAGTGCAGAGGTCTGTAAATGCTTTATGGAAAAGGACTTCTTATAACTTATTGTCTTGTATGGTAGTTAAGATATGAATACTGTGCAGATAATCAACTTATTTTGGAGGAACTTAATTTTTATCCTACACATGCTAATCACATAAAACCGCTGTGGTTTCCCTACTTGCTAGTGTCTCTTTGTTCCTCAAGCTCTAAAAACTAATTTTTGTATATAGGCTGGAGGAGAAACTGTCCAATGCAGAGTCAGAAAATCAAGTTCTGCGTCAGCAATCCCTCTCCATGTCGCCAACAGGGAAATCTTTGTCTGCACGGCCAAAATCAGTCATTCATGTACGAATGTGTAACTTTTGGCAGTCTTTTATTAATGATTCTCAAAATAAATTTGCTAAGAACTTGATGATAAAATATATTGCAAAATTGCAGAGGACACCAAAGAATGGCAATGTAGCAAATGGAGAAACGAAGGGAACACCGGTAAGTGGAAATTTTGTCAGCATGTACCTTGTCTCTTAGACTAACGCTAACACTAGTACTTATCTCAGGAAACGCCTTCGTCTACACCAACTACACGGGAACCTGAATCAGAAGAAAAACCACAGAAATATCTTAATGAAAAGCAGCAGGTTAGCAAACAGCGTTTGATTCGCTTCTCATTGTTCTTGGTTAAACAACGTGCATGTATTTGAGATGGCCATATCATTTGTCATAACGAAATTCTCTGTTTCATTTCATACACAGCCACCACTAAGTAAGATTATGATTCAATTTTCCCCTTGCTGCTTCTTTTTCTTCAGGAGAACCAAGACCTCCTGATCAAGTGTATATCACAAAATCTAGGATTTTCCGGGGGAAAACCAGTTGCTGCATGTGTCATATACAAATGTCTTCTCCATTGGAGATCATTTGAAGTTGAAAGAACCAATGTATTCGATCGTATCATCCAAACAATTGCTTCAGCAGTCGAGGTAAGTCACCCCTCCTGTTAACTCTTCTGCAGCATGGGTTCATGTCAGAGAAAATCATGTCAGTGAAGGTTTCAAAAGCCTACAGCGAACCAGATTCAACAGTCTTTCAAGCTCAAAACTGAAAGCTAAATGAAAGTATAGATTTCAGAGTAAAGCATGCTCCAAGTACACAAATGTAAAGACTTTGATATCACTTCAGTCCCGATAGGAACATAAATTCCTTCAAAACGAGAAGGTATAGCGAGTTGGAGAAAGAGGTGTGGGGTGGGTCTGAGGGGTAAATTACCTTATCAGAGTGGTTGCACTTAAGCCTTCTCTTTGTGAACTAACTTGATCAAGATACATAGTGACTGCACATTGGTGATTTTTCTAAAACTAATTCATAACTGAACTTGTTGCAGGTCCCGGAGAACAATGAAGTTTTGGCATATTGGTTGTCTAATGCATCCACATTGTTGTCTCTGCTGCAACACACGCTCAAAGCAACTGGAGCTGCGAGCTTGACGCCACAGCGACGTAGATCAGCATCAGCTTCTCTCTTTGGGAGGATGTCTCAAGTAAAGACTTAAATTCTTCCATTCACGTCGAATCTCTGTCCTAGTTATTGAATACTATCTTCTGCATGTTCTGAATGTTGCCATTGGTGTGCTCCAGGGGCTAAGGACGTCTCCTCAAAGTGCTGGCCTCTCGTTTCTTAATAGTGGCCGAGGTATTAGTAGATTGGATGACCTACGCCAGGTTGAGGCAAAGTATCCTGCATTGCTGTTTAAGCAGCAACTTACAGCATTCCTTGAGAAAATATATGGCATGATCAGAGACAACTTGAAGAAGGAGATCTCTCCATTGCTTGGGTTGTGCATTCAGGTAATTTATAAGTTTCTATTACGTGCAAACTCTGACTAGATACTTTTGGATAAAAAGGGAAGTCGCTGCTATTGTTTGGATGATCCACGCCATTTCTTAGGTTCATCATGTTTTCTAATGTGCTTTGTCTCTTGTTATAAAGACAGGTGTTCTGTTTGAAATCACTCATGCATATTTTCTAACTTTTCTTGCTAACATACTGCAGGCACCAAGACATTCACGCACAAGTTTAGTGAAAGGACGCTCTCAGGCTAATGCTATTGCTCAGCAAGCACTGATCGCTCATTGGCAGAGCATTGTCAAAAGCTTAAACAGTTATTTGATTATGATGAAAGCAAATAATGTGAGTTCTGGAGCTCGCAAAAAGGAAATAAAATAATTGTCCAGTCTTGGTGATCTTATGTGAAGAATTTTTCATTATCTTTGGTATGGTGTTTGGCAGGTTCCTCCTTTCCTAGTGCGGAAGGTTTACACACAGATATTTTCTTTCGTCAATGTCCAGCTATTTAACAGGTAATGCATACATTTTCGCTTTATAAAGTAGAGCAGACTTTTCAAGTACCACTATTATTGACTCGTTTATTGACATCTGCAGCCTTCTTTTGCGACGTGAGTGTTGCTCATTCAGCAATGGGGAGTATGTAAAAGCAGGTTTGGCCGAATTAGAACATTGGTGCGATGAGGCAAATGAAGAAGTAAGTGCTTAGTTTGAAAATTAGAACATGAAAAGGTTCTTTCACCTTCACTTTGTTGATCTGGTCGTTACCTCTTAATTTTTGTTTCTTTTACAGTATGCTGGTTCTGCATGGGATGAACTAAAGCATATAAGACAAGCAGTTGGGTTCCTGGTAAGCCTCAAGGCTTATTTTGTTACTGCATCAAATGATGGATACTCGACTTATTTTTCTATCAATTCCAACTGTTCTGATTGCTGTCTAATCTCGTGTTTCAATATCACAACCTCAGGTCATACATCAAAAGCCGAAAAAGACATTGAACGAAATAACAAAAGAACTCTGTCCTGTGAGTACTCTTGTCCTTCTTCTTCCATCAACAACATCATTGCACCTGTGTATCTCTTACTATCCAGTCCACTTCCCTTCTTGTGAGACTCACCCTAGTTTTCTCAATTTCTGTAGGTTCTGAGTATACAACAACTATACAGAATCAGTACCATGTATTGGGACGACAAGTATGGCACGCATAGCGTATCTTCAGAGGTAAATTTGTTTTTACTCAATTCTGAAAATTTCTAATGTTGAAAACTCCGATTTACTCACCATAACTGTACACAGGTCATAGCCAGCATGAGAGTGATGATGACCGAGGACTCGAACAATGCAGTCAGCAGTTCATTCTTGTTAGATGACGACTCCAGGTACAATATTATTAATAATAATGATATTAGTTGTAGTAGTTGTAATAATACTGATAATTATAGTCTCATAATTAGATACCTCTGGATGATATTAATAACAACAACCCTCATTCGCCCTTCCCAGCATTCCGTTCTCTGTGGATGAGATTTCCAAACCAATACAACAAGCAGACATTGCTCATATTGAGGCTCCACCAATAATTCGTGAGAACTCCGGGTTTGGGTTCCTACTGCACAGCTCTCAGTAGCATATGGCCAAGCCACAGACTCAAAAAGGCTCATCTAGTGCAGGCCATCATGGGATGCCCTGCCACGAACCAATGATGGCTATTGATTTAGACCATGATACGATGCACGCCTTTTGAGCATCCCCCGGTCGCTAGTAAGACATGTGAATATAGATACTAGCTTCTCTTGTTTCGCTTTGGGATGGAGCAACAGCAGCATCAGAAACGAACGAATGTGCATAGTAGTGGGTACCATTGTTTCATTAATTATTATTTGGACGATCATCTCAGGCAAGAGTCGTCCAAATGATTCATTCTTTTTGGCCTTTCCCTTGTTAAGTAAACAAGGAGAAGGGCTGTTTGCTGAGAAAAAGGCGGATTAATCACCCATCATCGTCAACAATGAGTTGAGTTGAGAGTGGTTATACGTCGCAGTGGGGCGTTCTGGGTGGCCTCATCATCAGTCTCCTCATTCCAGGCAGCAATGAGGAGGTGGTTTTGTAATCAAATTTTCATGTTCTTGATTAGCTTGGTTCATTTTTTTTTTTTTTTCATTAGATGATCAGAACTTCGTTTTGGGTTGTGGTTAGTGGGTTTGGGTTTGGGTTTGGTTGGGGTGTTGTAATTTTGAGGTTGCAGCAGCATTTTTATAGGCCATTTTTTTACACAGGTTTGTTCTACATATTATTATTTGTATGTAATGTCAGTTTAGTGTTTCTTTTCCTCTGCCATTGTTTTAGTTGGCAGTGTCATTGGTATGAAATTTGGGTTGCAATTGTGCGGTCGTTTACTATTGTATTTGTAAGGTCATTAACTAGGTCGTTTGCTATTGTTGCCAGGCCTCGAGGCCTCCATTAAAATGCAAATCTACCCGCTGTTTCACACCAATAGAAACTGAAGTTGATTGAACCCGAAGTACCACCATGATATGCTATAGTATTATCTCATTCAAGAAAAGTTCCACCAGGATTGTAGCCTAGTTTCGATGCCGCTTGCTTCCTTATGTGGTTTGGGGGTACAACAGACACCTAAAACGACACGAGATAGTTCGAAGTTTGCGAGGGAGAACAGACGCCATCAACAAAAAAGAAGAACAACCCAGTGGAGTTTCTTTTACTATATACAGCAAACTGCAACCTGAAACTCTCATGCACCTGAACTGAACCGAGAGATCCTACCTGAAACAAGTCATCAAGAGCCAACGAATTATTCGACTGAGAAGAGGAAAAGGTGGAGAGAGTGAGTGCGTCGAGCGCCCCAAGGCAAAGAGTACAAAGTGACATACAACAGCAAAAATAAAGATCTGAATTTTATTCCTGCTGGGGCTGCAATGCCTCGGCAGAATTGCTCATCTTCATTGTCGCTTCCGCCAGGTGGCCTGAACCTACTTCATCGTGTTCGCCAGCTGATACTGGTTTGGTCTCCAATTTCTTCTTGTTCTCCTTGAGAATCACCTGCCTAGGCATTACTTCCAGGAGGAAGCTCCCACCATTCCACACGGCAGCAGAGACTTTCAGAATTTGGAACACCACGTGCAGTCGATAGGACAGAAAGATGGGCACTGTGAGGGCCATGGTCGCCACCGTGAATAATCCTTGCAACAAAATGTACATGAGCATCCGGTTCTGATCCCCGAGTACACCACTAAGGCGCCACCATACATTGTTTGCTTTCTGTGCCTTCTTTGACAGCTCCCTATAGGAATAACAAATTATGAACACTGAGATAGTCCTTATAATATCATCCTTAAAATTTATTCTTAAGATGAACTATTATTGATCAACAGAAGTGGAGAGGAACAGCATCCAGAAATACCTGTAGGAAGTCATGACTTCTGGGTCTCTCAACAATCGCTGACGGCGAAGGACGTTGACGATGAGGAAATAGAGTGTCTGCCACAGTGTGTAGGCAGCTAGAGGCACCCAAAACAACCAATTGAGCAGGAATGTTTTGTCTTGTACCACATATGGCCACGACACTCTGGCTGCAGTTCCTTCTGGATGCATGGCTTCGAAGGTTGCTGGATTCCACCACCGAATGGTAAAGAAAACCACCCCTGCAAAATAATGCATCATGAGAACCAATTACTACCATAAGCTGGGTGCTAACAGTACCAAGTGCCAAAACTTTCCAACTTTCAGGTTTTAGTTTGTAGACATTTTGGGGGACTACATCTGTACCAAGGCTAACAAAACAAACTAGAGGCAGGAGAAATCAATACCGAAAGGGAAATGATCGCAATCTCTACAATCAGCTACAAAGAGAAGAAAACAAACTCACCTGGTAAAAGATGTATCAGGACACTAACAAGTTTGTCCACAGAGTTGAAAACCAAACTACATCGCCAAACAATCAATGCCCATGCCAACGGCCCCTGCACCAGCACCATTGGGTTAGTCAAATGAACCAAAGACCTCATCCCACGCTCAAAATGGTGAAAAATGTCCACAAGATTGTTACTTACTTCCGCAAATGAAAAGCAAACCATGAAAAACTTCTCATTCTTTGGGTACAGAAGGAGGTTGACCAAGAAGATAGTGTTTGCATAGTAGCAGAAATCCTGAGATTCAACAACAGGTGAACCATAATGCAAGGTTCAGTGGCTAGAAAGAGTTTTAAGAGATCATATATCCGGATCTTCTCAGAGAAACAACAGACAATAGTGAAACAAAGTAAACCCACCTGTCCTAGACCTTAAAACAAACATCTGATTTGACGGATCAACTTACCAGAAGATAATAGTGCCATTTCTTGTAGCGGTAGTATATCCACCGAAGAGGGACGAATATCACATAGAACAAACAATAGACGTATGGAATATCCTGCGGCCCTGAACACGTTAAGAAAGGTAGCAAAACAACAGACAATCAAAACCCTCAAATGGAAAGCTTCATTATGAAGTATGTACGTTTCCATGGCTGTCCCAAAAGGTGATAACTTACTTGCACCCAAGAGATAGCAAAACCCTCCAAACCCAAACACTCCAAGAAAATGGGTCACCTGAGAATTAAATTGCACACAAACAGATAACAATGCCAATTTTTTCTGAAGAATTGCCCAATCCGTGACGAATCAAACGAAACAGTGAGTGGGGGAAAGTTGACGGACCTTATTGATGAACCTTTCATGCTCCTCTGCTTGTTTAGCGATCTTCACCGCCTGTTTAGCGATCTTCGCCTTGGTTTGGGTAGCCTGCTTGGACAGAATCTCCTTGGTTTGAACCACCGTCTGAAAAGTGAAAACCCCCCAAAACACGCAACAAAGGGTATATCGTCAAATTTCAACCGCAACCCAGATCCTGAAAACGAACTCCACATAATCCCAAGAGAAGAAGAGGAACAGAGAATTCGTTAATAACCTTGGTTCGATCCCTCAACCGCTGCTTCAAATCGCTGGCACCCGAATCCCCATCGTTGGTAATGACTTCTTCAACAAGCTCTCCGTCGCTGGAGGACATTTCTGGCGGTATTGCTCTGCTGCTGCTGCTTGCTTGTTGTTGTTCCTTTGCTCGTTTTCTGAGCGCGAACAAAGACGGAGCAGGGAGAAACAGAGAGAGGGTACGAGAAGAAAGAAGGAGGAGGTAAAATGAGCTTTCTGATTGTGTAATTGGATTTTAGTAGCTAGCCAGGAAGCCAAGCAATGGCGTCGCCGATTATATATAGAGACCGGAAATTTGTTTAGAAGCCGTAGACCTCTTTTTCCCCGTTTTGCTAATCATCACCGTCACGCGTAATTGCGTGTAATATTGAACTCTTAACAGAACATATTATATCCAGATTCCAGGCTTATTAGTTATTTTGCTACATATTAATATTTTTATTTTATAATCTTTGATCATTGACCGCACTAAATTATAAATATGTGCTATGTGAGGAATCTTGTGGATTTGAAAAATAAAGTTTTTGGTTAAATTTAGGTATATGAAATGAATGGGATCTTTCTTTCACACTTTTTCCATCAAGAACGAATTTATGGTGGAATTGGTTTATTGTGAACTTGAATCAAATCATTGATTGCTTGATGGATTTCATTATAGATTTTGTTGAGTTAGATTTGTGAGTATGAAACACAATTTATCTTGTTACCCCTTTAATTTTTAATAAGTACAAAGACAAGAATAATCAACTCACTTAATGAAAGTAGATTATCTTTCCATTTATTGCAAAACTTCCATGACCCCTACCCAAACCAAACATAAATCTTTCTATTCATTTGGCTCTCACACTCAATTTTTTTAATTACTTATAAGAAATTCCCATAATTTTTTTGACTGGAATGAGTCTTTCATTTTTTCTCTAGTTTTAATTAGTATTCAAAAATATAGTAATATTAAAAAAACAATCTAAAATGAAGTACATATATAGAGAAATGGACCAAAATCACTAATGTAAGACCAATAATTTAGAGGACTCTTCTGACCAAATAAACAATTGTCAGTAAAGTGGTTGTTTTTTTGAATTCTAAAGAATTTACCTTATGTCTAGGTTATTGATTCAGATTCTTTTTTTTTTAACCAAAAATGGGTTCCAACTTTTTGCGTTTTGACCATGAGTGTTACACCAGCGACAATAACTATGATTAATCAGAACTCGTGTTCTTACTTTTATGAACAATAAAACGTAAGACAAGAAGAAAGATATCCAAGTGTTAAGAGAAAAAGATGATTTTATTGCCCTTTAGTTGTCACTTTTGTTGTTGTATTAGAATCAAGTGCCTCTCACTCTATCTTTCTCAATTGAGATCGGACCCAAGGCATACTTTCGTGCTGAATGTTTTGAGATTCAGGTTTGGAGAAAATAAATTGAAAGGATTAAAGGCATATTGGGAATATTAATAATAGATGGGATAAAATAGTAAATAAACATCATGAATTTGTTGCCTTCATCCCAACACTTTGAGAGGTGATATTCCAAGTCCATGAACCCCACTGATTTGGACATTCAAGTCCATGGGTCTCACAAAGTTTACACCACCAAAACCTTCAAGTAAACAATGAAATCTTGCCAAGTCCATGATGGTTAAGATTTGCTAACCAAAACCATAATCACAAATTCACAATTCATCAAGCAAACAAGCCTTAGTTAAAATAAGGTTGTGGTACAAAACTACAAACCAAACGTGTACTTTTAATCTTATGGTACAAATACAATTTGTATCTATAAATTTTTATATAAATTTTTTAGGGTTAATATTTTCGTATGGCCTGAACTTTGACCAAAATAAACATCCTGGCCAATCTTTTCGATCTATAACATCTTGGCCCGAACTATACACTAAAATAAACAATTTGGCCAAACCCGATGTTTGACCGTTAACTTGGATGGTCAAACGCGTTGACTAATGGTCAACTCGCCACGTCACTGCCAAGTCAGAAGATCTGATAAATATTTAATTTTTTTCGTTTTTTATTTTTGGTTTAACTAAGGTATTAGATGGTTTTTTTTTAATTTATAATAATTTAAAATTAGAGAATGTGTGTAAATTGTGAATTATTTTAAATATTTTATGTTGACTTGGCAGTGACATGGCCTGTTGACTAACGGTCAACGCGTTTGACCGTCCAAGTTAACGGTCAAAAGTCGGATCTGGCCAAATTGTTTATTTTGGTGTATAGTTCGGGTCATGATGTTATAGATCAAAAAGATTGGCCAGGATGTTTATTTTGGTCAAAGTTCAGGCCATACGAAAATATTAACCCAATTTTTTATGGTACAAACTAAATTTGTACTTCTATATTATGGAATAAACTGAACTTATAACATAACATAAAAGTATAAGTTTATTTATGGCACAAACTAACATAAATACATAATTGTTCGATATAAGTTTTCTAAGCAACTTGATCATGAAACTTCTTATGGTGAAGAGACTTTATAGAGATTTGTGTGTCAATATTGCTATAAAGATGGTTAGTAGTGCAGACATTTTAATAATTTTTAGTGCATGGTTTTTTAATTGGATCAGATGGTGAATTGGAAAAACTAGTGGTTTGTGGTTCAGTGATTAATTATTATAGAAACGCTTATAATCTATAACATATAAGACATCTATAATACATTAACTTAGAACTTAATTTATCACTTGCCATAAGAAAAAGTTCAAATCAATGCAATTCATCAAGTTCAAACAAATCATTCAAACTGTTTCACAAATGAATTCATATATGATTTTTTTTTATCAAAACTCAAGCTATTAATTAGGGGTCAGTCAGCATAAAAGTCAACAAGGAGACTAGTAAAAAAAAATAAGAGTGAGCATAAATAAATTAGTAGTTAAGATTGGATGATCTTAGTTTTGGTCATTTTTCTTAAACTTTTGTATGGTTGGACCAGTCAAAACAGGTTGGTTCATATGATTTCTTGTTCAACTGTTAAAGATCATTCAGTCTGTACTTAACCGCCGAGGCAAAGATACCAAATCACTATCATAACTGATTTGATTGTTCTACTAGTCCATAAGTTGGTCCGGTTTGATTTTCATAACAAGCTTTTTTTACTTAAAGTTGAATGGATGAACAAAAGTTGCAAAGTTTAATTGTATTTTTAGGCCACTTTGACACCTTTAGCATAACTAGAATTTGTTGGTCCAGAGTGTCCGAGAGCTCATAATAATAGAATTGATAGTAGCCTCGGACTTTAATTAGTATGAACAAAATCTTATCGTATCGTGTGTATGATCCGAATTTTTTTCTATCAAAATTCAAATTGTTAAACCATATTTACAAGCACATTAATATCACGATTTCAACGCACATTAATTACAGAAATTCATACTAAATCAGGCATGACGAATGGAGAGACATCGAAATTCTCATTCGTGGCAGCAGAACCGAAGCCGGAGGAGGAAGTATGTGGACCCAACTTATCTCAAGTCCCGAAACCCTATAATTTGCTGTTGCTGTTGCTAAGAGTAAATTCGCCACTCCACTTGGAATATCCTCATCACTCTGGAACCTTCCATATTTTTTTTTTGGTAGAATGGAACCTTCCATATTAGTTGCAAATATCTTACCGTCATCTTCGGCCCAACTTGGTCCCCTTTATTTCCACCGTATTGATCAAAAAAATTCGTCTACATAAATTTGATGGGTTAATTGCATGGTTGGTCACCGAGATTACAAAAAACGTTCAACTTTGGTCACTCAAAATATTTAAATCCATTGGTGGTACTTCAGTTTACTGAAACCATTTCATGTTTGGTCACTCTCCGTCCAACTCCGTTAAGTTTGGCTGATGTGGCAGTCAACTCTCAAAGTTGACCGTTAACTTAGTGACGTGGCAATTAAGAAATAATAAATAAAATAAAAGTTAATCTATTTTAAGTCCAACTCATTTTTATCATAAAAAATAAAAAAAATAAAAAAAATATTTTAATTATCAAATTGAAAGGGCGGTTCCTCCTCCCCCGTCCCCGCCGCATCAAACACCGAAACGGCATAAGAACTCGTCCTCAAGGGGATCGGAAGAGGATCCTGAAACCCAAATTTCCTTTCGTATGCCTAATTCCCGATGTCAGATCAAAAGAAAGTGCAGTACACTCTCAAGATTTTGGAGGTTCAATGAAGAACGGGGAACCTAGAATCCAAATCGGAAGGCGAAAAGAAAGAAAGAAAGAAATAAAGAAAGAAACCATAATTCATATTCGCTAGACGCTAATCATCATGAAATTATGTAGAAATTCTTGAGCACTCAATTCCAAATTCGTGAAAAAAGGGTGGGTGGGAGAGAAAACTCGTCTGGAGAGAATTGAAATTCTGGGAATTTCATGGCGGCGGCAGATCACATCAGTTTCGGACTGGGAATACAAGTAGCAACAAGGGCAGTGAGAGTTAGAAGGAGAGTGGAGAGTAGAGCATAGCAGATTAAGAAAGGGGAAGTTGGGATACTGCTTGGGGAGTTGGGGGCGGACTTCCTCAATTGTAGGATTTCGTCGGTGGGAGGGAGGGTTCTACAAGCACGGCGACGACGAGGGTGTTGGAGGCGGGGAGCGGCGGGGACGGAGAAAAGGAAGCGCCACATTCAAATTGGTAATTAAAATAATTTTTTTCTTTATTTTAAGATAAAAATGAGTTGGACATTAAAATAGATTAAATTTTATTTTATTTATTATTTCTTAATTGCCATGTCACCAAGTTAACGGTCAACTTTGAGAGTTGACTGCCACATCAGCCAAATTTAACGGAGTTGGACGGAGAGTGACCAAACGTGAACGGTTTCAGTAAACTGAAGTACCACCAATGGATTTAAATATTTCGAGTGACCAAACTTGAACGTTTTTATAATCTCGGTGACCAACCATGCAATTAACCCTAAATTTGATAGACTACAATTTCGGCACAAAATACTTATCGTTGTCTTTTCTGATACAACATCTCTACTCTACTACCACTAACTTTTTTAAGATTAATGTATTCTTATGAAGTGGCAAAATTAAAGGCAACAGGTGGATGTTCGTAAGGATGAAGAAAAAAAGGGAATAATTTGTACCCAGAAAAACAAACAGAAGGAAAAATGCAATAGCACTCTGTATAACATAGCCTACAAAATCTGTTAGTTCACAGGGAAGACACCCAAAAATCAGTAAACCCATATGTGCACATTCGTACATACTAGCCTAGGAACGAAAGATGATTTGATCATTTGATCACAAGCCTTTTCTACATGAAATCTGTTAAGCCAA